TCTCTTTCTTCCTTCCTTCCTTCCTTCCTTCCTTTTTCTCTTTTCTTTTTTTTCTTTTCTTTCTTTCTTTCCATCATGTCCAGAAACCTCAACATGTCAGAGTCTCCATATTGAACACATCCAGGGAGCCAGACCCATGCTAACTGTACTCACAAAAAATACAATTATAACTAAAATGTCTTTGTATTGACAAAACAACCAAAACTGTCACAATGAGCACCAGGCTCCTGTGGTCATAGCCAGTACATTCTTTCCCTGCAGGCAGAACAAGTGGGAAACCAAATTATGAGCAGAAAGTGAGTACAGAATGAAAACAAAAGGAGATGTCTATCCTCGAGGAATATTTTATCCAGGACATGAGAGGCCTGATGAAGGTGCCTTTTTTTTTTCTCCAGCATGAAAGAACTCTCTGGTTATATGTACATATGTACATCATTCATTGTATGACACATATGGCCACATACTTTTTCTTCCAGATTCAAATTGTGTCTCTTAGTCTTGTTTACTAACCTCCACCTCTCTGACATGTTTGTTTTCTGTGATATCATCAAAGCATGCTCCCTAAGTTCACACTTCTTTCACTGTAGTGAGATTGTGAAGAGAAGCAAAAGTCATAAGTAGATGAAAATATTTATTAATGATATGACCACTTACAAATTAGTTACCCGTTCAAACATCTTTTAAACGTTAGACTCCCCTTCTCCACTCCCCATGGTGGTAAACATTTATAATCCAATGCAAATAAATTCAGTTCTATTGCAAAATGAAATTGCAAATCTTGCAAAAGGTGTAAGGTTTCATGGTATCAATGAGAGTGAAGTTGGTAAAGCAACTGGCAAATGAGGGTCTATAGAGTTAAACAAAGAAGTGAAAGTAAAATCAACAGGGATGCTGACTATATTGATGCTTCAGAAGAAGAGAAGAAAATACTTTGAAAATTAAAAAAACAAATGAGACCCCTGGGAAAACTGATGAAGCCCTCAAACATTTTTACCAAACAACCCTCTTTTTGATTATGGCTTAAAAGTCAAATATGAAATAGAGCATGTTGTAAGGTGCTTCACATTTGTTAAAAAAAAAAAAACAAGCCAACAATAATCTTGGTTTATTGTTTATTCATTCCATAATTAGCACATAGTTGGACTTACAACATATTTTGTTCCATAAAAGATAGACTAAATGTATTTTAATAACATTGAGTTTTATTTTCAAATAAAGTCCACTTTTCACCAATTGCTCTGAAATTTAGTCCCTGTTTTAAATAGATTTATTTTAAGGAGGCTTTAACAGTGCTAATCACACAATGCTAATCAGGACTTCCTGTACTAATGAATCAGACTTTTCTAGTAGAAACAGTCTGATGTCTTGGTTGTGTCTATTTACATATTACATTTTTACTATGTTGTTCATAAAATAGTTCCATTTCTTAGTTTTGCCAGGGGAGGAGGTGTTAGCATCATTTACTCTTAGGTATTTCCTATGGGATAACTTCCAAAGGGTGATATTAAAAGTAATATTAGTGTCTCATAAGGTAACATATACAGAGGACACAGACTTTGGAGTCATCTTGGATTCAGACTTATATTTGAATCTGCTTCTGCCACTTAACAGACTTACGGTAATGGGCAAATTGTGTGCCCTCTCTGAACTTTGATACCTTCATCTGTGAAAATGGAGCAATGATCGCTCTGTCACAAGATTGTGGTGAAGACCAGATAAGAATATGTATAAAATGCCAGGTACAGAGAAGGCACTTAATATGTGGCACTTAAAGCCATGCTGTTTATTTTTGGTTTGTCTGACTGCCAAATTTCCCTTGTGATCTTAATTTGTTGATTATTTTGTACATTTAGGTTCTTCGCATGTGTTTTGCAATGAGAACCTAGGGTCTTTAGGCTATAAAAAGTAGCTAAATATGACTGATATTGAAAATGTGACTTTAGGAGTGCCTCGTTGCATAAATCTCTTAGAAAGAATTCTAAAATATTCTATAAAGCTTTGAAAAACGTCGAAATGAGGTCTTCAGGATTTATATTGTAAGATTTTGGCTGAGTTCTTCTTTAAGTTGGATGAATGACATTTACACGGAGAAAAACCTCAAAGGAAGCCCCCCTTTTCCACACCCAAACATTTTTATAAACAAATCTTGACTTAAAACAAGAAACTTAAAGGCTTTCCCCACACAGAGATCCCCATGCAAAGCACAGTCTTGAAAGTCACATGCTTCTGGATTTAAACCCCTGCTCAGCTGCTTCCTAGTTGTGTGACCTTGACCAGCTTAATATTTCTAAGCCTGGGTATTCTCATCCATAAAGCTGGAGGTAACAAAAGTACCTACCTCAGGTTGTCATGAGGGTGAAATGAGACACTGCATATAAAAAACGTTTATGTGCCCATACAGCCTGGCACACTGGAAGTGTTTAACTAGTTAACTATTATCTGTAAAGTCTTCAAACTTACAAGTTAACAAGAATGTCATATTTTGTTCAAAAATGGTAATGGTGTAACACAAAAAACAGAAATTAAGTTCACTTGAGTTCAAACATCAAATTATATGCTTTGGCTTTGCCTTGCCTTTTGCCTCTTGAGTTCCCTATGTTTAAGTTCCTTTCCTTCCCCTATTCACTCAAGATCTTGTTTTCTAACCCAGGGCTTTTCAATGGTCTCTTCCCCATCCCCCCCTTCCCTCCTCCTCCCACACAATAGGAACTTTACATTTGTAATACTTATTACAGATTGGCAAAGGGCTTCTACCTCTCCTCTTCCTCTAAGACTCTGGTATGTCCCCCCATGGGTCTGATTAGCTCAGATATATTATTTAGTTTACTTAGCTAAAACCAGGAGATAATGATGGCTAACATTTAGTATCTACCTAATAGACCCATATACAATGCTGGGTGAGTTACAAATGTTACTTGGATTCTTCATAACAACCAGGCAAGGCAGATACCACTCTTTATATTTCTGAGATGGATAATTGGAGGGTCTGAGCCAATAAGCTCAAAGTCACATGGCGAGTAAGCATCAGCACCAGCGACCATAAGGATCAAGTTAATGCATTAATTGGGATATGATGGTTCTAAGTGGTTTTCTACTTCTGGGAAAGGCCCATCTGGCCTTTCAAAGAGAGGCCTTCTCATACTGGTGCTAACACATATGTGTGCCAGCATGATATCACCTTATTCATGTATGACGTTTAACCTTTTTATACCATTTATCCCCTAGCACCACAAACGCCTTTACGTATTAGATGCACTAACATCTTTGCACATCCCATGCACATAACTCCAGCAAATATGCCAGTTAGATTCCTACAATGGATGTTGTAGATCTGACCATCAGAATTCCAGACATCACAAAGTAAATAAACTAGACTTGCCTCAAACCCAGTAATTCCTTTTTAATTTCCCCTGGCAAGTACTGATTTCGAATTGTGCTTGTTCTATAAAGCAGAATTTTGCAAATATTATGATATGGAATCCCACATACTCAGAAGGAGGGAAAGCTGAGAAGGGCGATTAAGGTCGATGTGTTTCTTTCATTACGGGTAGAATTAAGTTTCTCATCCGAATAAGTACCGAATTCTGCAGTCATTCCAAAAATGTAAGCTCAGCTCACAGAGCGTTTTGGGGAAACTTGAATGACACTAACCACATAAGGTCAAGCAAACAACTGGTCGACCCTAAAAAAAAAAAAAAAGTCCGTTGTGCAGGGTTTTCATATAAGAGATAAGTTATCTATGTATTTCTATATGCCAGCTCCAGAGTCAGCTCCAGAGTCCGATCCGGTTCCGCCTCTCACCACCGCAGCTCGGCAGACACTTCTCCCGAAGCCACTTGGGGAGCCTCAGGTTTGAGCCCCCCTCCCTCCCCAGTAACCTGCCGGCTTCTGCCGGCGCCCCGCGTCTACCCGGGCGTCTTCTATTCTCTCTCACACTCCAGCGAAACGTCCCTTTCCGATCAACTCTAACTGGGAGACTGCCTCCCGGGGCGGCCCCCCGCGCGGGGTTCCAGCGCAGGGCTGGCGGGTGGTGGCGCGCACTCGGGCGCTGGCGGGGCGGGGACTGCGCGCCGCGCGCGGAGGAGGGGGGGGGCGGGCGCAGGTCGCTCTCTCGGCGCCGCTCCCCTTTGTTCGGTTCCATTGTGTGCCACTTCCTCCTCGGGCGCTTCTTCCTGCGCCCTGGCAGCCTGTGGGCATTTTGTGAAGGGGCTTTTGGTGCGTTTTTCTTTTTTTCTCGGTTTATTTCTTAGTAAGTGAGGCCCTCCTTGCCCGCCTCTCCCTCCCGGCTCTCCACCCCCGGGCCCCGGAGCAAGGCAGAGTGGGAAGTGTCAGTGCCTCCTCCCCCACCCCCGACGGCGGCTCCGCCGGGCTCCCGCCCCGCTCCTCCTCCAGGAGGCATCCTAACCCCGCAGTCTGGACTTTCACCTCCAGACCGGCCGCGTCACCGCCAGGACGGCGACACGCGACCCCGCCCCTCCGAGAGGCGCAGGCTCCGGGCGCCCGGGGCTCCGCCAGGCAGCGGAGCGAGGGTCGGAGGCCGGCGCTCGGCCCAAGCCCGGCCGCCTCGGCGTCCCAGGAGCCGGTGTGAGTGTCGCCGCGGCCCTCCCCGTCCCTCGCGCTCGCGCTCCCCGGCCGCCGCGCAGCCGCCTCAGCCCCCTTATATAGCCCTCTAAAAATAGCTCGCCTCGCACCGCCTTGTAAGGCAGCAGGGAGATCCGCAGTCTGCCAATCCGCGCTCGCCGCCAGAGCCAAGCCCCGCCCCGGGCCCCGCTCCGCGCTCCCCATTGGTCCTCAGTGACTTCATGAGCCCCCTGTTTACCTTACATGGTCACACGCGGCCTAATGGACGCCCTCCTCCGAGATCCCACGGCTGCGCGGAGAGCGGGGCCGAGGGGGGTGTTTGGGGAGGGGGAAGAGCAGGAGGAGGAGAAAAGGAGGGGGGGAGAGACTACAAACTAGCAAGGATGGGGTGGGGGGTGGGGAGGGAAGGGAAGGGGGGAGAGAAGCGATCGCGAGAAAAAAAAAATGCAACCTCCCAAAATAAAGAGCAAAGATTGCATTAGGAGCGAACAGCGCTGCAGAAATAGATGGCAGCTTCGTGTCAGTGAGTTTGCATCCCCCTTCCTGATCCACGAGCTGGAGTGATTAGAGCCCTGGAAGGGAATTGTTACTCCCGTGGAGAAGTCCCCTTTTCCTGGCAGCCGTCTGCACTTGTACATGCTGGATGCCTCTCTCCATCCACCCCACTCACTCTCTCCTCTCTCACCTCCTCTCTTCCTCTCTCCTGCATTGATTTTTTTTTTCCTTTTTAGTTGACTGAAAAAAACAAAACAAAACAAAAGGGCCACTGGATGTCTGCCTTCTTGGGGGGTGAGCCAGACAGACTGACAAACAAACAGACCCAACTGTGTTCGGGGGAGGGTTTCTCCTCCCGTTTTGCCCGGCAGCAGCAGCATGGACGTGTTGGCTAGTTATAGTATATTCCAGGAGCTACAACTTGTCCACGACACCGGCTACTTCTCAGCTTTGCCATCCCTGGAGGAGACCTGGCAGCAGGTGAATGATTTAAATTACTTGTGTAAATCGTGTGGTGGCGGCGGAGACGCAGGGGCTGCGTTGGTGTGGGCTTGGGGTTGAATTTTTTGTTTGTTTGTCTTATTCCCCCCCCCCCTTTTTTTTGGCTGTTTGTTGTTTAAAATGTTTTCCGAAACAGTCATCTGCGCTTACCTCTCCACCCACCCTCTAACCCCTTAGTGTGCTGAGCTGAGCAGCCGGTCTGAGCTGCCTGCGTTTCAGTCACCAACACACATCCTTGCGCACACGTTGTCGGGCTCACTGTCCCCAGCACAGACCTGCGTAACTTCGGGGGAACCGGGTGGGAAGGTGGTTTGGGGCTTTATGAGCTATTGATGACAGGATACTGCGTCCCTACATGCCCGAGCTCTACCTACTTGGTACCTTAAATCAGGTTCAGTTCTTTCAGGTGGTGCTGAAGACCGTCAGATGGGGGTCAGGAGGTAGGAGCATAGCGGAGTGTTTTCTCAGGAACTAGCGAGTGACAATAAAAGATAGAAACTTGATTTTGAGATGAGAAGGTGGGCAGAAGGGAGAGGAGCCCAGTGACAAAAGATACTCAAGGATATCTAGGAGGAGGAAGGGAAAGATGTATCTATCTAACGCTGACCAGGCGTTGTAGATTTCCCCAGTGCAATGCCTCTATATGTGTCCGTGTTTCTCTTTTTTGTTTGGGGTCCCTCCCTGGTTAGAAGGCACACAGCCTCTGACAAAGGGTGGTGTGTGCTTCCATGCCTCTGACTTTGTCTTAGAGGACTAGTTAAGAAACTCCTATGATGCTGAAGGGCACTGATGCCAAGTTGGCTAGGCGTCCCACTGAGGGCAAAGTGGGTCTGGTGGCAAGTTCAGTGGGCTTTATGAAGTGGAATAAAGAAAGTGCTGGTCAGTGGAAAGTGCTAGATCTGCTGCGGAAACAGTCGTTTTCTCAGCAAGGGTTAGGAACTGCTGAAGGGACACACTGCAGGAAAGATGGTGGGTGGGGGGCAGGGGGGTATGGGTATTCTTTAAAAATACTCCAGTGTGCACCATGGAACGTCCAAGAAGACAGTCCGGATTTGCACATCAGAAGTGTGAACTCGCACAGTCCGTCTTGAAGAAACCAGCCTGCCCTTGGGGAGGACTACGAGAGGCTTGGTGTGTGGCTGCTCATGTAACTTCGCTCAGTGACAGCAGCTTGTTAAGGCTAATGAACGGCTGAATTTCTTCTGCCAGGATCCAAAGCGGGATTTGCCAGCTTGAGGCTGGGATGTAACAGTTGTTGCTGCTTTAGCGAGTGAGGTTTGGCTTTGGGTATAGGGAGCAGAGTGGCAAAGCTGATCCTCTGACTGTACCTTTGTTACTAGTTGCTCTTCTTCCCTGATTAGAGGCGGTGAGTTTTCCTCCAGGTGCTGGCCTCTGCTGTCTGTGTGGCCACCATCCGTTGCTGCCCAAGGATGCTGGCAGAGACCCTCGACTTTGTCTCTGAGCGCACACATAGTTCATGCATTCTCAGTGCAAGGCATTTCTTCAGTGCATCCTTTCCCCATCCCTAATGAGACTGTCTCATGAAGGGTCTCACTAGATCTTTTCCTTCCTGTATTTCACATGCTAATGAAGCCAAAATGTTGCTAGAATTTCATTTTCTGAAATAGCTTTCATTTCACATTGTCAGCCCACTGGTGTCAAACTGGTTGCGTATTAACAACTGTCTAGACAGGTTAGGGTAGGGAATCTGTTGATTTAGTCAGCCTGCCCAAGGCAGCCCTTGTTTGTGACTAACTGTTAAACAGTGTTGGAGGGAAGAAAGTTGGCTTTATTTGTTACAGCGTTCCCTCCTGATGAATCACACAACTTTGTTTTGGTTCAAGTTTTCACAGTAGTAAAGCCTGCTTTTGGGGAAGGCCTCTCCAGAGGAAACCTGCTTTTCTAGATCTGGTTAGACCATCCAGAGAGTCTGGATCTGTGAAGAAACATCACTGGTTTGATAATTAGGGATGTATTAGATCTATTGTTTCCTCTGAAGCCTCCTGTGCTTTTCCTTTCCCCTCCTCCTCTCTACTTGCCTCCATCAAAGAACCTCTAGCTTAGTTTCTATCTGCAGGCCAAGGAATCTCAGCCCCCACTTCCCCACACCTCCCTCCTTACTTCTTGCCTTCACCCTCCCCAAATGGCAACTACTCTTACCTTAAAACCCTTTGCCAAGCTATTTGAGAGGCATGCTCACAGTCCACACTGAAACATAAGTTGTGGGGAAGCATTCCTAAATAAGATATCACTCTAAGGAGCTTTCTGCTCCGGGCTCTGTAGTCACAACTGCGCTCTTGAAAGGTGACTGACACTCTAAGTTCATGTTGATGACAAAACCTCCAACCTCCATCTCTTCCTTCCTTCCCCCCCCCCCCCCCCCTTCTGAGTGTAAGGAGGGGGGATGGTTATATGCAACTGACAGGACCAAATCAACCATCAGATGGTGAAATTTTGAGACTCCTTTGCTCAAAATGGCTTAAGAAGATTGCTACAAAGAACCCCCAGATAGGAGGAAGTTTCCTGATGCTCTGGGGTAATCAGATTTTAGAGGTCAGATGAGGAGCAATTATTAGATGTTCTCTGAAAGTGAACAGTGTACCTGGCCTTGAGGAGATGAGCAAAATACAGAGATTCCCATAATCTGATTTGGTTTGTAGAGAAAGAGTGGCTTGGATGATAAACCCAAGAACATCTGTGCATTTGAAAATTAAGGATGGACTCTTTGGGGATTTTATTTTAAACTGTGGCCTGGGGTAATTGTCCTGCGTAACAGTGAGCTTGGGATGGTCCTCCTGTCACGGGGGTCGTCATTTTGACATTGGGCTTTCAGGCAGTGACGTCTTTCACGACATACAGCTCCAACTCTGAAAACCATTGCCGATGTAATTTTAAAATCCAGATGGACATCTTACATTAACAGCTCTCCATTCCTGGGCTCTGACTGCATACTTAAGCACTTGGCCAAAGTAACATCATCTCTGCCTGTCATATAACTGTAAATTACACTGTGCTTATGTGGTCTATTATTTTATGAAATTCAGCTGACGCACAACTCTTAAGGCTACCAGCCTTAAGTTCTTCGGAAACTTGCAGGAAATTTTCCAAGAGCTGTCTGAGCAAAAGTAGGAAAAAGTCAAAGGTAGGACAAAAGCTGGAGTAGTTTATAGGGTGCCACTTGATGATGGATAAAGGGAAACACATTCATGAGTTTTGTTGCCAGTAGAAATTGTGATTTTTCTGGACCCACTGCTGACTTGGAAAATAAAAAGGATTTGATATGATACCCTTGGTTATTTTTCTCCAAGAAGCTACAAAGACTTTTAGAATTTGGATAGATTTTGTATACCTAGTCTGTTCTTTTCACGAGTGCAGGTCAAGTAATGAAGTTCTGAGTCTTATTTGCACTCAGCTTTGCTTCATGCCATTGAGGAGCATGGTATGTTTACTTGAAAACTCCTACGGAATTATGCTTGTTGTTAATGCTGATTCATAATTGGCAGATGGGGTCAGTTTCAGGCCTCCTTTTTGCTCAGAGAAAATTTTCCACTGCTACTGGAAACAAATAAATAAATCATAGAACATTCCTCCCTCCTCCCCCATTCCCCCATTGTTTTAAACTAATGGCATACTTGGCTACTGTACGAACTAAAGTGTCCCCATAACACTGCAATTTCATCTTGGTTTCAGGCACCCTGGAACGCTTTTTACAAGGGCCTTTGATATGAGGCATCTCTAGGGGACAACCTACAAAAATGGTTGCCTTCCAAGAACAGCCTCATGACACAAGGGATGGGATTTGTTCTGTGAGCTACATTGCTTCTTCCTCTTTATGGTCACCTTGCCTTTGCACTGCCTTCTATAGGTCTGAGCAGCCAGGTGCTGTCTCAGCCAGAAAGACAAAGCAAACTGTAGGGTCCCTGCATCTGCAGGTTTGCCTCTGTCCCCAATTTGCAGAAAACCTTGTCATGAATTAGAATTTCTTGGCAACAGCACCACCCAGGGAAATTTGTAGACACAAAGGAGCCTTGCTAACCACACTGAAAGGATAAAATAGCTGGCTTTTTTTTTTTTTTGTATGTTATTTGTGTGCTCTTCAGGTACCATAAATCTTTTTTTTTATTTGAAACAATGACTTGGTAGATGAAAAAGAAAACTGTCCCGTTATTCAGATTTTCTATATAAAGATGCAATCACTAAATAAATGTAGCTTTACAAATGAGAGCACATGTGAGTGCAATCAATCACACACTTAGCCTTTCTTTAATAGACTCGTTTCCATGTTCTTTTTAATAGATACATCTTTTTGTAGATTTAGGGGCTCACAAACATTATCATTCCGTCTACCTGTTTGCAGTTCGGTATTTTAAAGTGAGTGAATGTTACTCTGCAGATATTTTTACTACATCTGTCTTTTGTGGGGGGATAAAGGAAGTGGTGACTTCTTTGTTCTCCATGAAACTCCCCCCCCCACTCCCTACCCTGAGGAGAATGTGATGTTGGGGTCCAATCCATTTAAAGGGCAGAGCAGAAGATGCACAGTGACAGCCTCACCCTGAAATGATTTATGTTATGGGTATGTCAGAGACCTTCAGTGCTCCGATGTGAGCTCTTCCTCTCTTCCAGCCCATTCTAAATATAAATACCAGTGGGGGCTATTTGCCTCTCCGCTTAAATGGGAAGAGTTTAGAGAGGGTCCTAATGGGGCTTTTAGTAGCCGCTCTTATAAATCTTCAGATTCTTCTCCCTTCAGAGGATTCCTGATTTTAACTTTTTGAGTACAAGAAGGCATTGCAGTCTTCTTGAATCACTCCGTGCCCATTGAGCAAAGAAGGGTACAGTTTACTCTGGCCAGCCCCCACTGGCTCGTGTTGATGGAAAAGCTGATGCCCCCTATCTCTGCAGTTTGTAGTAGTGTGCTAGGGTTTGTTTTTTTTTTTTTTTTTCTTTTCCTCCCCTATGCTGGACCCTGTGACTGG